ACCTGTGGTTTTACTCGTTAGAAAAATTAGGAATTCGGAAAGGTTAAGTTAACTTCGTCAGAATTTTTAAGAAAAATGCGAATAGACTTTTTTGCTCACCAAATTTATCAATTGTTAGAAATTTTGATTGAAGTATTTCTCAGCATTAAGCCAGCATTAAGACAACTTCCCACTTAGTTATCTACGTAGATCATCTTAGATGGTATACTAAATTCCGAATATGCATTTATACATACAATTCAACGGTTTCGTCAAAGAAAAAAAATTGATATGTCAGTATCGTAAATAATTTCAAGTATGGTAAGTAATGTTATTTTTGTAAATATTGAAAAATAAAAATTATGCATTAAATATAAGATGGTTTTATTACTAAATAAAAAAAGCTACTGGCTTCGTTTTAGTCATGCAACAAATTGCGATTAAATTCGGGACAAGGGGAGAATCCTTCAGCTCACAGTGTGGCCATATAGAATCAACGTGCCTTAGACTTCATCACCTTTTCTTGTGGTTGCGAATTTATTCCTATGAATCCCACTAATATCTCTTCTGGAGGAGATCTTGAAATCCCTTTTTCTTATACACTTATTGCAAAACTTCCGCAGCCTCTTCCATGTCATTCGAAGAAAGTATTGATTTCTTATATCTGATTTAAAAGAAGTTTAGAGGCCAACATCCCAATACTTCTCAGATCGCCGACTTTATGCAGTAAGTGATTCAATACAAGCTCTTTGAGGAAGCAGTTAAATTGCAGTGATGTAAAAAAAAAGCACATCAAATGACGCGCAAGAATGAAAATAACGTCAAATCGTTAAAATGCCTTCCTCTCCATCGGACACAGAATTTTTCTATCCAACTCTTTAGCAACATTGCAAGCTGCCCCGGTGTCTTGAGTGGGTGCTTCATGCCAAAGAAAATGCGGCCAAAAACGACGCCTTAGTCTTTTTGAACCACACTTTCTTTGGCCTTTGCCTTTGCTAATATTGGCTAAAGAAGACGGTCCTGACACAAAACAATCACTTCAAAATGAGCCATCAAATCTACTCTAAAGGCATGAAAAGTAGGTCAATGGAAAAACGGATTCGTGATAATAATAATAATAATAATAATAATAATAATAATAATGATAATAATAACAATAATATAGAGCTATCTGCGAGACGATACAAATAATAGCTATTGTCAAAAAATACCGCCTGATTTTATACTTATTCTCAATCGGTGGCACAAAATATTCAGTTCAACTTGCACGTCTATCAAATCCATTCCTGCCTTAAAAGGCCCCAAACAAATTGTTAACACCTAAAGAAGCAAGTTTGGTTGGATAAAATCCCTGCATGGATGACAAAAGTCATGTTGCAGATCAGCAATCAGACAGACGCTTTTATCAGTTTCGTTAACACCTAGTTATATTTAAGCAGGAGATAAGTGTAAACCTGAACTTGTCCCTCTAAAGGCCGGTTTATTACTTATGACGGAGTTGGAGTTAGAGTCGTAATCAGAAGTGCGCGTAGAGTCTCTCAAAACAGCAGTCAAACTTAGAGATGTCGAATTTTTTAGGCAAGTTCATAGAGTTAAAAATTTTTGATGAAGGTGGGCAGCAAAATGTTTTTCGATTGTTAAACTCTTCGCGACACCCTCGTCGTAACTATGTCAGTTTGACTAGATTGGAGCGTCTGACTTTTTCAAAAACTCAGTTTGAAGTTGGTCGGTTTTCGCTGACTTGACCATGGCGAACCAAAATTGGATTTTTTAAGCCTTCCCAATAACTTGTTTGAAACTCAGTTTCTCCTGAGTAAGCTCAATAGATAAGATAAACATGAAATACTCCTCAATGGTTTTTTTGGAACTGAGTTTCATAGGTTTTTTTTAAATTGTGTTTCAAAGTTCTGTCAAATTAAGGCCTTATAAATCGCCATTACTACCGTTTGCTCGAGTGAACTTTCACTTCCGTAAAACTCGAGAAGTTAAAGAGATCCGATCAGGCAGATTGTGGTTTTGGTATAAGTACACGAAATTATAGTCTTGCAACACACAAGAAAAAGGTAAAATCTGTGTCTCAAGCCAAACTGATCAGACCGCTCTTTCAAAGACTCCTCTGGTTAGTAAGTCCGATTATTTTCTTGTTTTGTTTTGTATTTTCGTTGGTGTTGTTTAACCATCTTTAGCATTGCAATTATTAAAATTGTCACTATCTTATTTCTTAATGGGTGCAAATAACGTGCACTCACCTTTGACATACATGACGTGTTTACCGAGGGTTTCCTGCATCACATCATATCTACTTTAAGGTGTGATTTCCAAACAAGTATGCAGTATGAATTTTAGGGAGACACCCTTGCAATATTTACCGTCAATACACTTGTAATCTGCTCGCTTCTTGGGGTGATTGTTTGATTGTAGTCACCTTAGAAACGAAAGGATTTCAAGCCACTGACTTCCCTCGAGAAGTAGCTTCATGAGAAGTTGTTTAATTCGTTACGGTGGTTATTTTTTGGAGGAAGATCTTTTGTTTAATGAATAATTTTCATTTTTTGATATTTACAAAAGTAACATTACTCACCATACTTGACTTACGATACCTATGAATTTCTTTTCTTTGACGAAAACGTTGAGTTGTATCTTTAAATGCATATTCGACAATCTTAGATGATCTACGTAGATAATTAAGTGGGAAGTTGTCTTGATGTTGGCTTTTGCTCCTAGAAACAAGAGCAGTGGGCAATGATTTTCATTCTGGAGAAAGCTGAGAAATATTTAATAAATAATTGATTTGTCGAGCAAAAACGTCTATTCGCATTTTTCTTAAAAATTCTGACGATGATAAGTCAACCTCTCCGAAGTCCTAATTTTTCACACGAATAAACCCACATGTGGAAAGCAAGGACGTAGATTGGGGGAAGAGGGTCCCGAGGTGCCCGTGACCAAACCCCGCCCCTTTGAAAACCTTTTTTAAGCACGGCATGAAGGTCGACATGACAATCTGGTGAGTACCCTCTATTTGACTCAGTGTGACCCTCCCCCCCTCCTTTGAAATGTCCTGGCTACGCCCCTGGATAGAGACCTCTGGCAAAGGCTTTTCAGTATAAGTTTTTATACAGTTTTTTGTTTCTTTCGTTTCCATGGAGAGATTAATAAACTTCCATTGATTTTCTTAATTGTTCTCATTTTCTCACTCCTCTTGTGTATCAGTTCATGCAACTCCCACACGATTTGCTCCAAACATCTTCTTTTCAAGTTTCTCAGCTTGAGCAAGGGTTTCTCTTGTTAACATCTGAAAGAAAGCTACGCGAAAGTGTCTGATTCTTGCAGTGTAGATGAGTGGGTTTATCGACGAATTTAGCGCTAGTAGAAATATAATAGGGAAGAAAGCGACTTGTCTTACGTCAGAGGAGTTTTCTCCATTGAAGGAAATGAAAAGAATGAGCCAAATCCAAGTCGGAATGTAACAAAGGAAAAGTGTCAAAACTATCACGACAGTTGTGTTAAAAGCTCTCTTATTCTTGAGTAACTTTTCCTTCACTGCGAAAGAAACTTGGTTGGCGGTGATTTGCTGTGTGTTGCAACGAACTTCTTTGTATATGACAACATGACAATAAACTACAGTGGATATTACGGTTGAGATAAAAACAACTATTATTCCTGGAAGGAAGCTGATTTTGATGCCATAGACAATCGCTGCGCATATCCAGGCCATACCGGATGCAGTAATAATACGGGCTTCAGTTACAAGGCCATTTTCGTAGGCGAAGGGGTGTTTGATCGCTAGATAACGTTCCCCGCTCATTAACAACAAGTGGAGAAGCGAAGCTGCAGTGCATGTTTGGCCAACAGCGCTGGATACCCAAACAAAAGTACAGGTCACGGTTTGAGGGATGCCACCTATGAAGAATAAGCTGAAATTGGTTATGACCAACGGTTGAACAATCAGTCCTACAGTAAAGTCTGTTGTTGCCAAGCAAGCCAGCGAGATGTTGGATTTTGTACGCAGACGTCGCTTTGTTTTTACGGCAACTATTACCAGACTATTCAGTAAAATTGCGAGAGGAAAAGTAAAGATATTCAAAGCAGCGCTTATTGCTAACACAGAATAAACGCCAGAAGTGATATTTGTGTGATTTTTTGAAAAAAATTCGAAACCACTAAAAGGCGATGTAGCGTTTGGCATGTTGATTCGGACCGCGTGTTGAGCAGAGCAAATCCTTCCTTGTCCCTCACTTAACTGTGTTTTATGGGACATGACTACAACGAAACAACTTGCTATTGTTCTTTGATTTTCACTCCAGTCCAAGTGTATTGTCTGTTTTAATGTACAGGCGGAAGGTTGAGAAAATGAATAGAAAAGTACTTGAATGTTGGCTTTTACTCTTCGTAACAATCCAAGAGCAATTCGCTTTATTTAGATTATTTCAAAGAAAGAGCAGGGAAAAGGTTCTTCAAAAAAATGACGCAATTAGGAAGGGGCTTTTAAGAGCTATACATGAAACTGAAAACTCGACGGTAATTTCATTTTTCTTTCCTCTCGGAAACCCTTTTATCATCCTGAGGGATGATCCTGCTAAGTAGAATAACGAGGGAATCTTAGGCCAGTAATATTAATAGCTTGATTACGTCCAAACTGAAACCCAGGATGCAATTAAGGACAACTTTTTTCACCTGTTTGGGTTTCACAAGTGTGTTTAAGCAGAACGAAAACAGAGTGAGCAACACTTAGGCCTTTTGTAACAATTTTTCTGTATCACACACAAAGCGAACAAAACGAGGTGATGTTGTTCATGACACGTTGCTTCTAAAGAGCCTCGATTCGAGCGCTGAGGCTCTCCCCCTTTCTGTCATTTACTGCATGACTACAACATGTTATTGTTTGTTAATGATTTCTTATCTGCGCATAAATATATCTCAGTAGACGTTTTGGTGAGTGGTACGGCTGATTATTTTTTTTCCAGTTGTGCCGTATTTCGACGAGCCTGTAGGGCGAGTCAAAATGCAAACAACGAGTAAAAATGATTAGCGATACTACGCACCAAAACGTCTAATAAGTTATTGATTATGCAACTGCTTTTTTTTTTCTACTGAGTCTTTCTGCTCATTTCTTATAGGCGGGAAAAGTAAAGCGGATAGAGAAGCGTAGCGCGCGCAGCCGACTGGTTAAACAGGCTTTACATTACATAATAACCAACGGTCCAAATAACCGTACAATATCGCACGATATTTGTACCTTATTCGCGCGTTAATTGTATTCTACTTTGTGCAGTTGGATGATAAGAAGTTGTATTGTATGTTTTAAAAGATATGCAGAATTTAGCCGACAATCCAAGATGATCTGAGTCTAAGTGAGAAATTGTCTCAATGTTAGCCACTATTCTTCGATAAAAGATCAGTTTGCGCCTTTTAGAGTTATTTTAAAGCCGGAAAAAGCTTTTTTTTCTTTCGGAGTTCGAATATCGAAATAACGTGACGAGCCTTTAAAAAGTATATCCATATTTTTGTTGGGTTTCAATAACGACGAAACCGTAGAATTCTCGTATTTACTATCTCATTTCATATATGACAAAGGTTGGGTATTATCCGATTAGTTCAGGGTGTTATTATCCTTTAGCTCATGGTCTCAGTAAACAGAGGTCAATGTTTTTTTTTCGGCCGGAAGTGGAATCCAAAGGGAGAAAAGTTTATATTATTAACCTTTTACTAGATAACAGGAGATGTAAGTAAACTTCTTTTGGGAGCTTCTGTTAAATTTAAGAGAAAGGACGTATTTTGTTGTTGTTAAGTTGTTTGTTATTTTATGTTTTTATAATTTGTTTTACGGGTTTGTTTTGATCAGTTCTTAATTTGGACTTATTTCGTTTTGTTTTGGTTTGCATGTTTGTTTGTTTGTTTGTTATTTTTTGAGGAGGCGGAGGGGAGGGAGCTTAGAGTTGAGGGGGAATGGGGCACACCTGAAGGAAATAGGAACAAGAGTGGGAACTGAACTCCAGTGTATAGTTGTTGTTGCTGTGGGGTAAGGGGGGTGGGGGCGATGTGTTTCTGAAGAGAATTTATTCTTAAATTAGTGCGATCGTGAACATCAAGGAATTCCTTATTACTGGGCCTCTTGTGTAAATGTAATTTGACTTAGGCCATGGTTTCACCCAGCCAAGGTAAAGGCCTTGGGATTTCGTTATAGGGTTCTTAATCATTCGAGGACATTAAGTATTTTTCCAGTGTTATCTATTTGCCTTCGTGACACGCTCAGATCAAACGTTTGACTCTATTGGAGATGGTTTATAACATGGTTCTGCCAGGTGTGGTCACCAAACATCAAAGGTGCATAGTCTTCAATAAGAACATAAAGAGAAGAAAGATAAAAAAAACACCGGAATGTATGCTTTAAATTTATTTAAAATAACCCATCACCGAAACATAGAATCCCAAAAACGAAGTTAATGAAAAAGAAAGAACCTTTTTTTCCTAACGTTCTGTTTGTAGTCCTGATGAAACAAATTTAAAATCTAAAACTACATCTAAGCGAAAAAAGAATTGAAGAAATTAAATTATTAAAAAAGCGAAGCCGTTTCCGTTCAGGTTGGTCTGAGTCTTTAGGTTTTGGTTCTTCAGTGTCTCTGCGAGGAAATCAGATAAATCAAAGTTAGATTCTTGATGTATTGTCGTAAAGGCCTGAACGCCTCGGAAGCTGGAACTACCTGACTAAGAGAAGGGGGGAGTGGGGTGGGCAAATCTGCTAGATTTTGTGTTTTGTTTTCGTGATTCTATCAAATCAATACATGCATGTTGCCTTATTTTACCGTCACAACATACACCTATAATTTCAGGATTGTAGAGTGGGTTATACATATTTAATTAGCTTTCAGGCTGCGATGTATCATCCATGCTTACGGATTATTGAAATAAAGAGCAAATGAGTTCTTATCCTCGGAAATAGAGTTTATTTTTGCATACTGAGCCAGTGTTACTTTAAAATCAATAGTGGGTGTATTATTCCAAGAACTTTTGCACAAAACTAAAGTACAGAAAGAAACACCAAGGCAGGAAGAATGAGAGTGTTTCCCCAGATTCTGAGTTTCCATCGTGGAAAAGAAACAAATGCCTAAATAGAGATGTTGAACATTTGTGACAAGCCATCAACGAAGAGAAATTTACGTCATCCTTTGACAACCACACCCCGTCCGATTTTGCGGTCGCGACTGGGCTTTGGAGGAATCGTTACTGAGCTATCAGATGTACCATTTCTAAATTACGTTTCCATTTATCAAATCGGCTTAATGAAAAAAACAAAAAAACAAAAAAGCAAAAAAACGATGAGCTATCATCACCTTCAGCACTTTTCTTGCCAGGACTTGATGAACTGGTCAAGCTGCTGCACTTTGTCCTTGGGGTCTCTGTACTCATTCCATTGTTCACCATCAGCGTCACCGCACAAACCACGAACACGGCTGCGCAGAAAAGGCGAGGCGTACAGGCGGATCTGCTGATCTTGATCCATGGTAGCGTGTAGACCCAACTAAGAGAAGTTGCAAAACCACAGAGATACAATCAGCATGATATTATGTAACTCACATAGGAAAAGTGTTTTAATTACGAAGAAGGTCGAACAAAATTTGTTGTGTGGTTTCGTTCGGCGTTTGCTTAAAATTTGTTCAAGCTAAGGGAAACTGTGCTCTTCTTTCTTTCCAAGACTATCTGCTTCAGCGCGCTCACTTATAAAATAATCTTCTTCTGAAACGGCAGAAGCAGTGGGAACATTGTTAAAGTTTACTCGATATCATATTTCTGTAGATTAAATCAAATTCAAGAACAGTAGTTCCCCTACTCGTTTAGAAGAATAAGCACCTTGTGAATATAAAATAAAATCCCTGTTAATATCATAGTGATATATATCACTAATTGATAATCGTTACATGCTATTATGAATATTTGTACCAAAACTTATCTTAAAGGCAAAAAAAGAGCGAAAAAATCGCTCAATTTTTAAAATAGAGACAAAAGCAAGATCACTACTGTTATTTCTGAAAGTATGAAACGTCGGCTCAAATCACCTGCATTATTTGGTAAGAAATACCTCCTACCTTTGTCAACAGCTCAACCTGAGTCTTTCCATCAGCCCTCTGTGTCTTACGGACAGAAGCCCCACCCAGTTTTGATTTACATGCCTTCTGAGAACAATCGAGTTTCTGGCCGTCAATCATAGTGGTGCCGTCTGGTTTAACTACAACTGATTCCTGGTCTTGTTGTTGAGATGACTGGCGGATAATTGCTATCAGGGTCTTTTGACCTTGTTTGTCAATTTTCACAGAGACCTGATGGGCCAGAAGAGTAGAGTCATCGATTAATTTTGGAATAAATTTTGATACGAACAGTTTGAGTCGAACGTAAGCCAGGCTATCCACCTAGCCCCTCTACTCCCATGAGGCAAATAAAAGGGATATATTGGTTACCCACGGAAGGGAAACATTGAATCTTGTCAGGGTAGGGAATATACTGTGAATTCCACAAATGCGAAGTTACGACGTGAAATGGTAAAATATGTTGACATAAAATGCGAGAGTTGATAATCGTAAATACTAAAATATCTTCAATTAGCTAAAGTATATCTGAAAACTTGAGCCTTTCCTTACACGCTTAGCCCACTTCATACAATACCCAAAAGCTTAGAACACCAAGATGGCATGATGCCGGAGCATCCGAGGGTATTTTATTTATTATTAATTGGTCTAGACACCGGATAATATTATCAAATAGGCCTGAGGTGTTTTTTCTCTTCCTTTGTTTTTCTACAAACCCAATCTTACCTGAATTCTAGGTTGCTTGTCTTTCCTATGTTCCTTAGCAAGAGTATAAGGACAACCGCCCTTGATGTTGTACTTGTACTGAAGTTGGTCAAACACTCTAATGCTGTCTTTTTGGACCTCACACTTGGCTAAAAGATAAAATGTAAAACGTCGAGATGAACAATAATGACTCGTGACTTGTAGGTTTTCAGCCAAGACTAGGAGATAAAGTTCGAATGGAATGTAATAACATTTACTGTTGTCATTGTGGTAATGGTTGTCCATGGTTATCGTGCAACTTATTTGTCTGTTTTTTATTCATCACAACTTTCATTAAAGAAAAAAACTTCAAAATGTCTTCAGGGAAGCTCAACCTTATCTCAACAGAAAGCTACACACCCATCCTCTCCCGTGCCCAAAGCAACGATAAATGGTCTCGAAGTCAATTGCTGGCTTTGTTTTCACCAAGGTA